GGATGTAGCCAAGAGGAAGCTTTCAATTACACTTCCTGTAAGAGGAACTAAATCAATAGTGTTCAGCAGCCACAGATAAACAATACTAGTCAGAACTGCTTCTTCTAGTTACCCACCATGTAAAGAAACAAATCATATGTCTTCTGCAAAAACTGTTGTCGATAACTTTCAAGATTAAGAACATAATTGTTGTCACTTAAAGTCATTTCCCCTGGTTCTGTACCAATGGGACACAAAATGCCTGGCATTAATTAACTGAACTTTCCAACCGTCACTACAGGTCCCGGAATGCAGCAAGAGCCACAAATGTAAGCTCAAAACCATTACTGACTACTCTACTGCATCATTTTGGTTTATAAAGACGCACATCAGCCCCTCGATACCAAAAGAAATTGCATTCTTTAAAAACGAAATTGCTTGTCATGTGTATCAGAAATGTACATACAACACACACATTACGTATCTGGAAACCCTAATACAGTCAGGCTGCTGTGGTCAGAGGTTTTGGTGTGTTCTGGGCACTCTAAGCTCCTTCTAGGGATGAGGAGGTTTCGAGCAACTCTTTCCACTGTGAATTCCTTTCTTTGCTTACTTTCTGTATCTAAAGCTACACAAAATATGCTGCATATGCTTTGAATCAAAGGTCCTACTGATAAACTGATTTCCCAGCAGGTACTTGAGAATTGTAACGATTAACTTTGTGAATTTAGCAGAACACAAATTATTAACACAAACCAAACATAAGACAGAAATACCTGATGACACACGGTTTCATTGTCATTCACTTTTAAGTACTACTGGTGGTCTTAAATTTACCTTTTATAACCAGAAACTCAGAGTGAGCCATTCAGAAGGATAAATCAATCTTCCAAACTCTGCAGTGTTCAGACATAAATATCACATTCTAACCTGCAGTTTTAAGGTAAGTTTGTTTCAGTCCTACTTTTTCTCCTCCCTACACCTAAAACTACACTAAAGTTCTTTACCACATAGATTTGAATAAATTACAGCTATGCACTGAACAGTCATACTTGGTCAATGCTGGCAGATTTTCCCACATCACAGACTGCACACAGAGTACCAGATTTCATCACTTAATAAAACTATTAGTTAATATCCTAAAGAGTATTTGAAGGACATCATGGGCTAATGCATAATTGTACTTCACAGTGTTTCCATATTCTGCACTTAACATCTTAACAACTTAAAACTGTGGGTTTTTTAATAAATACAATTTTTTATTTTATTTATGAAGTGCTTTGCATTGCTAGTTGTAATTACATATTTAAGTTAGAAGGAAAAATGCAATACAGAATTTTATTTCCACCTGGAAACAATAAATGAGTAACTTTTTGAAACTATATAACTGTGAAAGAAAATATCTTTCTTTCATCATGACTGAAACGGCTGACTGCCTTTTCTCCCTACTCCCTGGAATCTGATAATATGTGTATGAATGAAGGGACACACTACACAAAAATGACATTTTGTGTAGGAATGAAAAGGTCAGAGTACCACAAACCTGACTCTATAAAAAATAGAAGTCACCTTCATTTAGAATCCAACAATGTACGTGAAACGTCCTTTAGGATACTGAGCACATAGGAAATAATTTTTTCCAGTTCTTAGCAGCTGGAGTATCTCAGAACACAAGGCACATTACCAGAAAGGTTTCTATCTAGTCAGTATATTTTATCCTAGCAATTACAATAAAGAAATTCAACCACCTAACCAGAAAATCACTCTTCTTGTTTGTAATGACACCACGTGCAACTATAGAGAATCAGAGATAATAAACATCAGAATCTGTGCATCTTTATGTCAGTACTAGCAAGCTGTTCAGACACTGTTTCTTTCCTCTAACCTAAAGTAGGCAAAAATCCAGTATTTGAATTCTGCCTCATGTTTGAGTCACGATAATGTGAATAACTTGTTTCCTAGCAATAGCAATTTGGCCTCAACCAGCAGTGAAGCCCAAGGAAATCCTCATCCATATGGAAACATGACAAAATGGCACTCCCTCAAAGCTTCAGCCCCTTGTGGCAGATGTTAGTTTGGGATATGTCACAAGGGGTGTCTGTTGACTTGTCTTTCATAAAGTGAGTGGTGCCACCACCAGCACAGCCTGGATGAAAATCAAGTGGTTGTGGCCCATTCTGTAAATTCCTCTGCTGCAGTGCAGCTCAAGAACAGATGTGATCTAGTGATGCAGGCATGGCACCGATGACACAGTATGATCGAGTCTGGAAAGCCCATAAGAGTTTTGTTAAAACTAATGAACAGGGAACTCTCCTCCTGCTTCCCACCCGCCATGAGTAATGGGGCTGTAAAAACCTAAGAACGTGCGGGATGTATAACCACAAACCTCTCCAAGGACACTGATTGGAAGGCAAAACT